CAGCTTCACTCATTAATGAACAATCTACTCATCAACAATCCATTGCTGATTCTGGACAGGAAAAAAATAAAGCAATGTCATTGTGTTTTATGTTTGTCAAGTTCTTATTCTAACCTTTTCTAAATTCATTTGGTGAGATAAGATTGGTGTGTTTGAATTGCTTTCACTCAATACACTATATGGCTCAGTAAATGTTCATTTTGAAGCAAAGATTTTCAGATTTGAGGTTTCAGCTGTCACTTGTGTTTTGCAGTGTCTTATGGTTTAAGATGAACCTTCCCTGCGGTGCGTGGGGAATGTCACAACTGTCCCATACTGATTTCAGTTCAAAGGTTACAGTGTGGTGTGACTTCCAAAGGGCCCTCCTTCTGCAGCTTGCACCTGCCTCCTCCCAAAAAGAGCCCCCTTGCAAGACTCGAAAACCTTGGGAGTCACCGTGCCTGAAACTGTGGGTAGAAACGGGTCAGAGGTGGAAGGTTAATGTCTGCTGACACTCGGGCTCCTTTCGTCTGAGACAATCAGGCGTCCGAAGCTAAACTCTCTTCTTGTTTTCACTGCTGGATCAGGAGAACACGAGTGCCGAGCACACCTTTGACCCCCACATTCATATGTTTTCCAATTCTGGTTTTTGTTGACCTTTAAATGTGGAGTAGAATACAGTTTGAGTGTATAACAAACATAATTCACATAACTGCACTGTCCATCCAAATGTTTGACTGCCCCAGTAATCCAGTGAACTGAAAGCAAAGCGGAAACTTAGATAGCGGTAATGAGCTACGTATGTTAGCTTTGTACATGTTATGTATGCTAGCTATGTACACGTTATGTATGCTAGCTATGTACACATTTGTACAGAACACATTGTGCTGAAAATATTTATTAGTCCTTCTTCTTCCTTTCCACTTGAGGCCATCGTGCTGTACCATTTTTGTTCATCTGCGCCTATCGTCTGCATTCTCTTGTTGACCAGCAACTGCCCTCACCGCTTTCCTCGCCACATCTATCAACGTTCTCTCTGGTCTCTTTCTCAAGAGTTCATTTCTACTCCTAACATCTGCATCCCCACCAACTCCTATCATCGCTTCAATGCCATTTACTCGAAACCGTACATCACGGTCACAACATGATGCAAAATTCCAAAGCCACCTTTCCAAGTTGCTTGCCTTCACAGGTATGCCATCAGACCACCTTTCCATATTTCTTCTTAACATCCCCATTACAAATGATTGCTACTTCTTGTTCCATAAAAATCACCTCTTCAACTTTTTCTTCAGGCTTTTTTTCCTCATTCATCAACCCCCTGAAAGTATTTTTCCATCTATCCAACACATTACTGGCACCACCTGTATCCTTAATCACCCTAACCTGCTGCACATCCTCCCCATCTCGAGCACTCTTCCTCTTCCAGGCCAACCAGTATGGATTTCGCTCCTTCTTTAATATCCAATCTAGCGTAAGTCATTTACCTCTAGTTTGATCTTTTCCATCTCTATCCTGGCCTAATATGACATCGACATGTATTCTTGTCTCTTGCAATATTGGCATTATATAAGAGGTGGAAAAAGTTGAATTGGAACACCCCTAATTTTAGAAGTAGAAATACAATTTTAGAGGTTACTCCTGACCTATTTGGTATTTTTCAACTCTTTTCAAGCATTCTTGGCATTATATCAGAGGTGGAAAAAGTTGAATTGGAACACCCAACACACATTTTAGAGGTTACTCCCGACCTATTTGGTATTTTTCAACTCTTTTCAAGCATTCTTTTCTCTTAGGTTTATTTTTTTTAATTTTTTTTAAGATTTGGTGTCAGGACAAATACATTTACTCAGAAACTGCATGTTTTAGGATTTCGCATGTGAATTTTGATTAAAAAAAATGTCCTTGCTTTTCCTTCGCAGCAAAATCCCAATCAGCACTACTGCACACACTGTTCATCAGATCTATCATGCCAGATTAAAGAAGGGTGATCTGAGTTTCTGTTAACCTTCATGTCATGACTTTTTAGCTAATGCATTTTGTTGCCAACAGCTGCAGTTGTTAGCAACAAAACAAACATTGCAACCAAGCCTGTTAACATCGGGGCACAATCCTCTTTTCCTCCGTCCCTGACAGAGAGTGTTTAAATTACATACATAAATAAAATCACGGTGAAATGTTTTGTGTTAGTTAAAATCTTTTTCTCCACCTCAGGTCAAAGGACAGAGTTCTCCGAGCCAGATTTCTGTGAAAAGATTCAAGGGCAAAGTTCAGCATGTTGGGGGGAGGAATGAAAGGGAGGATATTGTATCTCCATTTATGTGGCATTCAGGGTTGGAGTTCAAAGATGAAAGGTCACTCCAGTGCAAAGGTTACTAGGCGAGATACCATCCAAAACGCTGAACCAGTCAAGTTCCTCTAACTTGAGGCTTATCGTAATGGCTGAAACACACTGCAATAGGACTTGTGGCGCAATAAGATGCAGGGGGGGCGGGTGAAGGTGGGCGGGGGTCAAAAAAGAAAAAAAAAATGGCACAACGGCAACTTTTTATGTATCCGACTTTGGTCAGGACTTGAAGCAGACTTTTTACTGTGTTGTAGTCAATCATGCAAATTGCTGGAAACACCCGGTGTGAATTCTAAAAAAATAAAAAAGAAACATAATAAACTGTGGCAATGTGGCCTGCTAATGCAGTTGCTGTTTATGATACTGGCATTGACCTGAATTCATCCTGTTTAAACACTAGTACGAGGTTACACTAGGTTAGAAGGGGAAGGCTAAATATAAGTGTGCACGATGACAGAGCTGTTGGGAGGCGTGTGCGCAAACTACTACTTGTACTACTGCTATTACCAATACTACTGTTACTGTTGATAGTACTCCCATTTTAAAATGAGACAAAAAAATAAAAAGACAATGTTTTCTTTTTCGTATGAAAACACTTGCTGTTCCCCTGGTCCTTAGAGACATTTTGTTCAAGGCCATGTTGACATGACAGACTGCAGGCCAACAGACTCGCTATCACAGATTCGCACAAGATGTTTGTGGAGAAGGGAAAAAAAAAGTGCATTTACAGCATAATTGCGAGATATTCATCATAATGATCACTTTTTAAACCTATACGAGGTCAATGAAAAAGGTTCTGTGGGCACATCTGTTGTTTTTGAATGACTTCACACTTTAGTGACATGCTTTCACACCTGGGAGCAGCCTCAGTTCCCCAATCAAGGGCACCCTGCGGGATTTGTGAAGTTCGTCTTTTATTGGTTACTTTGGGCTGAAACATTCAGCATATATTCGGGACGATGGCAGATACTTTCATATGTTGGAAGGCAATCCAATGATTTATTTTAGATACAGTGCACTGACTGAAAGTTTTATTGGTCGTCATCCTACTGTTCTAATTTAACCCATTCATGCACAAATAATAATAGTGTTTTTTATTAGTCTTTAGGCATGAAAAAAAATAATGGCAGTGGATGGCTACACACATAAGGGTCCATTGTAGTGGTTGATGCACATCTGTGACATTATGATGAATTAATTAAGAGAAAACAACATGTGAATAGCTGTCCATTCTAGTCACCGCTGTCCCTGAAAGGGTTAATGGGAATATTGTAATTCTATCATCTAAATTAGGATGTTGACCTTAATGCCAATCGGTCTTGTACTGTTCATTATAAATGCTTAGGTGATGACATACAAAGGAGTTTATTAACAAAGGCATCAGATTTATAGGTCAAGAGAATACAATGTGTTGCCCGAACAACAAATATGAGAAGGGAATAATAAGAATGGATATTGTTACATATAAAACAAAATTCAGATGGTAAATATGTACATGCATGGAGGAGCCTTTGGACCCTACACTTGTGCAACAGTTATTTTTTTAGTTAATTTTTATTTCCGATTTTCACTCCAAATATAAAAACAAGAGCTGATATAAAAGCCCGACTCACTTTCGAGATTTTGTGCACTTTGAAAAAAAAAATAAGACTCATGTATTTTAATAATTTAACACAGTAATGGGTTTGCACGTTTCAGATTATTCCAATACTATGAATGATCTCTTTTGCAGAATAGATTTAAAATGTCATGAACTGTTTAAACGCCAAAATTTCACACTAAAGTCGAATATACTTTAGCGCAGTGGTTCTCAAATGGGGTTACGCGTACCACTGGGGGTACGTGGGGGAACTTCAGCGGGTATATGAGATTTTGAAATCTAGCTGAAAAGTAGCATCCATGCAAAAAAATAATTTAGTAGTAACCGCCCTGCCATCAGGAACAACAAAGATCCTCAGTGAAGCACAAGCCCAAGTATCTCATTAAATGTCTCTCTGAATGCAAAAACATAAAGTTTAATGCAACAATGCAATATTCAGTGTTAAAATTGGTCATGTTGTCAGTCTTTTTAATAATGAAATATTGATTTTAAGATGATTTTTGTGGGGGGGAGGGGGGGGGGTTCTGCTTTTATTCAAAATGAAGTAGCACAAGTTCCAGAGTTACCATGACAAATGGAGTTCCAAAATGTAATAAATCAGACACTGATGGCACAGCGATGTTGGAAGTCTTTTTTTTTTCATCCAAAAATGTTTTGCGCTGGTTAGGTGGTACCTTGTCCCAAAAATATTTCCCAGCGAGTGCATCATTGAATAAATGTCAAGTATATATGGCAAAACTAGGAAGAGAATAATTCTTCATCTAGAACCGATTTAAAAAAAAAAAAATAATTATTATTATTATTACTGTTATTATTGTTGCTAGTATTGTTATTAGGTGGAAGTTTACCCTGTATTTTTTGTTTACATGTATCCAGATTTTTAAATAATTGCCCCTAATTCTTTGATTTAGAAAAACACGTTTTTCCATGCATAGTTCTTTGTCTTACTACATATGATGATTAACTTCGTCACATCAGTTGACACGGACCTAATGACGTCACTGTCGCTTCATGTTCTATTCAGTCATGTTAGAGACATTCTACCTTCAAACAAAAATACGTTATGTGTAACGTTAAGCTGCCTGTGCGTGCTGTATTTAGGATAGATAATGGATCAATGGAGGACAAAAATGAACGAATAATCACCCCTGCGTCGTCCATCAAGCGTCTTTACTTTATTTTGATTCTTACGTGTGGGTGGTGGAAGTGCGTGTTCCTTTAAGGGTGGTGTCAAAGCAGCAAGCGGGGAGGAGTGCGATTGTCGCCGCTCAGTGCTACACGGAGAGGGGACACCGCGAATAAACAATTCCCACAGACTGGCCACACGCAGCACACCTCCGTTCGGACTGTTGTGGCACGAAAAAAAAAAGAGTCGCTGAGGCATTTCTGGACTATGTTTTGATTTCGAAAGCCCGACTCGCCATTTTTTGGTCTCGTGCCCGGAGTGACAAGACAGATGTATGCCGTTTTCAATGGATTTGCTGCCCGTGCCGAATATTAATGCGCCTCTTCGACTGACTGTGGGCTGGACACCGCAGGTAGGAAATGTAACACGAGAGAAACACACTCGCATACACCGGGATTAAAGAAAAATACATTGTTACTCACAACGGACACGGTACGGACTGTTCTGCTTATTATAACGTATTTTATTTAGAGTAGTCGAGGTTTGTTGTTTGAGTGTCGTACGGCGAGCGGAGCGTACTGATGTATCACCGAAAATGCTGCATGTGATGAAGTATAAAGCCGCCGAAAGACGCTATCTGCATCGCCGAACAATAAACTAGTCCCGGGCCATGGTATTTTGTGTGTAAAATGTTCATACAAAGAAATTACAAATGAATAATGGATTGTTAACTAGAAAGCCACTGGAAAAAAAAATGAAAGCCACGGCTGCTATTGGAACGTTGCTGTCACAAATTGATCATAGGGGCTCTGAGCATCACCGTTGTTTTAACGTCAATGCCATCCCACCGAATGGTTGTTATTAGTCCTTTGAGTGTTGATGAAATTTTTTTCTAGTTACCGCAGTTCATCCTTATCGGTTCAAACATCACAGACAGCCTCAAACATTTGAGAGTTTTTGGACCGTGGGGGGGGGGCGACAAAAATGAAATGTTTGTGTTAAAAGATACAATGACATTAGATTTGGAATGTACTAAATAGCAAGACTCAAGATTTCACTCATTAATATTTTTGTCCAGATTTTTGCTTGGTGTTGGTCCGAATCAATTTTTTTTGTCTTGCAATTTTAAAAGTTTTTGCATTACAGGTTACCTATTCAATGACAAGTGAGGAAGTACGTTAACAAAAGAAAAAAATGCCTTTAAATGTGATCCACAAAACCCAATAATTCATGGATTAGGTCATGAGCCGTGAATGGAAATTTTGTCCTGCCTTCTAACTATAAAATAGATTTTAAAAATATGTTGATTCTTTCTTGTGTTGTTGAAGTGCATCCTGCAATGTTTGTGTCATCATGACGTGTTGCCAGAGTTCAAAGTTTTGCGTTGTGTAAGTCACAGCCTTTGACTGGCCTTTGCGTGGGGTGGTGTGTTTTCTTCAATGTCCTGTTGCTCCATTTGACTTTGGCAGAGAACAGCGAAAAGGTCATGCGCTGAGGTTTGCGACAAGTTACATTAAAGAAGGCAAAGTACATCGTCGTCTTAGGTTTGAAAAGGGCACATTTGAAAGCCTCCCAGCAGTGGCCTGCTGTTGCAATAAAAGTACAAAGGAATGGTGTATTCAGTTCATGCGCGAACCTTCCACAAACCTAATTCAGCATCAGTCAAGTTTAGAATAATGTAGAGAGGAGTCTTAACTTCTTTAAAAGCCGTGTCTGGGGCTCTATACCATTTAGCCTTCCTTTTGTTGAGCATTTAAGCCGCTTAATTATTTGACCTGAACTTAGACAAGATTTTCAAGGTTGTTCATTTTGCCCTTTGTAGTCACAAGAACCAAAAATCTCTCCATTCAGAGGCAAGCTTGCGAGTTGTACTTGTGACGGAGTGGTCTGTGGCTAGAGTCAGTGTAGTGTGGGTAGGTTGAGTTGAGTTATCGGCTATTAAAGTGAAAGTTGCTTATGAGTGATGTGCAGTAGCCTACAACAGAATCAGAGGGCATTTCATTTGTTGACTGAAAATTCTTGGCTTTCTTTTTGCAAGTGTGTTGTCATCGGCAATCACATTAATTTTAGCAGATCAGTCCACGCAACAAATTTGAACTTTTTTTTTTTTTTTTTTAAACAAATGTCAGTGACAAGTGCAAGATACACACCCAAGAAAACATTGACGGGATGATTACCGAGTCACTCTTGGGGTGGCTGGGAATCTAATGCACAATCTACTACAACAAGTGTCAAAGCATTTACTGCATTTTTTGATTTATTACAGACCTGGGAGCTGCCCAGCATTGTGTTTTGGCCACTAAATATTGTTCAAGGGCACTTTGACAGTAGATGTTAAGGAACAACAGTGCATTATCATCTTCTCAGAGCACACTAGGGAATCACACCATTGACCTTTTCACCTCCAATGCATTTCTCTTAATTGTTTGATCTTGATATTTGTAAGCAGTATGCATGGAGTCAGATTAAATAAATGTTCTATTGAAGGATTGATAACTGCATTTCGTTCCACGGTTGTTATTGTACAGAGATTTATAATCATGGAAGAATAACATTGCTCATGTTGTCAATTTTTAGTCTGGTGCACAATTTTGTACCTCATCAGTGTTTGAAAGGAACACTTGTCACACACACTTGGATCCTGAGGTTTTGTCCTAAAAATGTTTCAGAAAATGCGTTGCCTCAAAAGTATCGCAAAGTAACTGTCCTGCTAATTTTAGCTGCTAGCTGCTTTTATGCCCATGTGACATCGAATGTTGTATTGTATTAGCATTAAAGCGGTGATTAACCATTGTTGCAAATAATGTTAATGTTTCTTAAAGCATTGCTTGTATAGTTGTATTATGGTGACAATTTGACACTGGAACAGACTAATTTAAAATCCAGTATATTTGATGCAAATATTTTGTATCAAATTGGAGCGTCCTGGAATGGTTTGGATTTTGGCCTAGAAGGTGCTACTGACTGCTGGGGTGTCCAAACCCGGTCCTCGAGGGCCGCTGACCTGCATGTTGTTAAATGTCTCCCTACGCCCACACACGTGATTCAAATGATCAGGATTGCAAGGCTTCTTCAAAGCTTGCTGATAAACTCATCATTTGAATAACATATGTTGGATTTGAGAGACATATCAATGAAATGAATTAGATTTACTCACATGTCGGTTTACAATAATATTTGGCTTTCAGGATAAACAAGAATTAAAATACCCCACAGATAAAAATTAGCTTAATTTTCGAGGTGAAATTTTAGCTGGAATAAAACTTTTTGTGTACTGTTGCTTGGAAGAATATGTTATAGCCAAGAACGTAGTTACGGCAGCCTTATCTCACTCACATAAGGTGATTCTGGCTCCTGTTGGTGCTTCTGTCATGAACAGAAGGCGACCAAAGTCAATGGGACTCATTTTGATGACGAGGCAGGAACAGCTAAATGCGTTTTTACAGCTATCGCTCTTGGATGCGGCCTGGGATGATGGAATGTGTGGAAAAAAGATGGACACATCCACTGCAACACTCGAGAGCTACACAAGCCAGGAGTCATCTGTTGAATGGCCTTTCAACACTTGCAACAATCGATTGTGGCGGATTGAAATTGTCTTGAATTATTCAGACATCACACACACACACACACACACACACACACACACACACACACACACACACACACACATGCCCCCCTCCCCCCCATTTTTTTAAGTCTCAAGAGATTCTTTACCGATTACAGAAGATCAAAAATCAAAATCAGGTATTTAACAAGTTTGATGCTACTATGCGTAGTGTGCTCCAATAGTATCAATACACTGTACCACTGGTGTCAAAGTCCAGGCCCAGGGGCCAGATCTGGCCCGCCACATCATTTTATGTGGCCCGCGAAAGCAATTCAAACATGGCAAATTCCATGAAGCTTGCTAAAATATGTACCGAAATTTCAAATTCTCACATGTAATAAATGAGAGATGTTTAAGCATTTTTTTGTTGCCAAACACCCCATTTCAATCATTTAAACAATAGTTCCCGAAACTATTATTCTTGACTTCTTTATATGATTTCAATCATAATGGCCCTCCAAAGAAAATGGTACTTAAAATGTGGCCCGCGACAAAAATGACTTTGACACCCCTGCGCTATACCTTACCATACCATCTCAAACTTGATGTAGCAAACACAAAGAAGAAACATAGCAACAACAAACACGAGAGATGGCACACGAGAGGATGGAATTCAATTCAACTCAACTGTACTTATAGAGCACTTTAAAACAACCACCGCTGTCTACAAAGTGCTATACATGGAGCAGATATCATATATATATAAAACATCAGTGGCGGGCCATGCATTTCAACCTTAGGCCTTCAGTGACGTCACATACATACACAATATCGGTTCGTCAAGCAGCACTTAATTTCAGGAGCATTTAAAACCATCAAGTATGTATTCCCAATTAAGAGCAGGAAACTACAATTACAGATATTGTCAAAAATAAAAAGATGATTTAAAAATACGAAATAAAATGCCACCCAAATTACGCTGTGTGATCTTAAACAAGTCTGTCCAATAAATTGCGCAATGTCGCAGTTTCATGTAAGACACCAACCAAACAATAACAAAACAAACTATTCTTTTGAAAATGAACAGATCATTTGCATTTTGAAAATCGGCGATACAACAGCAAATAACTGA